TCATTAATCATATCTTCCAATATTTCAATCCATCTCGGAATAACAATCCCAAATTTCCTATTAACATCCCCTTCAAAATCAATTTCTCCTGCTATCATCTTTATAGTTGGTAGCGATCTTAAAATTTTTAAATAGTCTATTACACCATGTTCTTCCATTGTTCTTTCATCAAATTCTCGAATTTGTTCACCATCCAAACTTGAAACTCTGTTTCGTACATTTATATAATATACAATTGCTTCTGTGAGATAAAATATTATATCTTTATATTCTTTGTTCATAATCGAGTTAATATAAGAAAAATCATCACTTGGATCTAAAAATTAATTTATTAAAATTTTTATTATTAAATTTGTTTAAATCAGAGAGATAATTAATTCCTAAAGATATTCAATAGGCGGCATTGTGTACTAATAGATAACAAATAAAACAGCTAATTTAAGACGCTGATTCGTTCCCCGTCGTTGATTAACCTTCTGCATTAGTTTAAATAGAAATGACCTAGAAATAATCAGCTTTATTTTTGTGAAGTCTGAAAATTCATCAGTCAAATTAAAATATATAAAATAACTAAAATTATTTTTAACCTCGAAATTTTGATTTTACCAAAGGAACATATATTTATTTTATGATAATTAGTTAAATCGAACTCACCAAAATCTTTTATTGGATATTTAACATAGTAACAACTTCGTGAATACTAAAATTATTTAAAAATATAATTTATAATTTTGTTATTTTTTACCCAATCTAGTTTTGATACTTCTTGAGTAAAGAGCGCATTCATCTTTGACTTTTGTGTAGAATTCATTTCTTGAATTTGAAATTATAGGATAAGTATAACTTTTAGGCTGGAATATTGCTCGTGGATTAAATCAAAACTATTTTTCCTTATCAACTATTTTTCTATAAACATTTCCATTGATATTAAGTTGAAAAGAAAAAACAAAGTCTTTAACTGCTTCCTTCATCGAGATCTCAAATCTCGAAAATCAACGGGGAATTGGGGTACAGTACTTCAAAAAATATTTTAACGCCTTTAGGGCATATATAAAAATTTTCACGCGATTTTATCATTCTATTTAATTTCATTTTTTGTCGCAAAATGTAGCCTGAGATTTGTTAAAAATGATAATTTTTACCGTTCATTATTTTGCGAAATTCAACATATTTTTCTTTTAAAGTTTTAATTGTCTCAGCATTTAATTTATCAAGAAATTCCTCATCCCTTTTATCCTCATTTTCATTTGGATTTGCTTGTTTAATAATGCCCTTCAAATTTTCTTTCAACAATTTTATAATATTGAAAGGCCTATTTTCTTTTATTTTCTGATTTATTTTATGTAATATAATAACTATATGAACATCAAGATTTTTTCTTTTATCTAAACTTTCCTTTTCATATCTTTCTATTCTTTCTAATAGAAAATTACGTACAATTATCCATTCATTGTTATCAACATAATTTTCTAAATTAGTATCAAGCCATCTTATTTGTATTAGTATTTCCAGCTTAACATTATATTCTAAGTGTTTGTCGAGTTTATAATTATTTATTATAAATAAATATATTGAAATGATCCATTCATCTAATTCTTTTGAATCTGGAATATTTTTTAAGTTAATTTATGATTTATTATATTCGGGTATCCGAATATATGGATCCAAAAAAGACTGAATATCCGCAATTTTCGGTTCGGATATCGGATCCGGATATCCGAAGATTTCCCAGGATCCGCCAACCTTAGTTTCTTACTAGAAAATAATTTTTAAAGTTACCGTATTCAATTAAAAATGAAATATCTTTATTTTTCTTTAAAATATCCAATGTATTGCTTGAATTAAACAAATCCAACAACTTTGATCTTGTTCCTCTAATTTTATTAAAAAGTTTGTTCAGAGGCTCAGGTATTTCATAAATTTTATTTCCACTTTCTGGCAATTCTTTTTCACAAATTTTAAGAAAATCTTTTTTTAAAGTTTCTTTGTCAATTTCTTTTTCAAATATTTCATTACTAATTCCTTTAATAATTTTATCCTCAAAACGTTTAATAAATTCGTTAACTTTGATTTTTCCTTCCTCTTTATTTCTTATAAGACTCACAAATTCTTGTGAAGCTAAAATCTCAGCTCTGTCCTTCATATTTCCTGTTTCCAATATTATTTGTCCAAAACGTCTAATTTGTTCATTTCTTTCAACCAAATCTTAAAACGCAATATAACAGGCATGGTCACGGATACTGATAATAGTATCCATATCCGGATATTTACGGCGGATGCAGGCGGATATCCTTAGGCATTTTGGGATTATCTGCATCCCCATGCCTGCAATATAATAATTTAAAATATTTAGCTATCTACATGTGCCAAATAAGAATGGACAATAATACACGAGTATATTCCCTATTTTAAATGAAATACAAAGAAAAATACTCTATAAATCAAAGGTTTTTACTTAAGACAAACCTATTTTTAGAAGAATTGGATTTTTAAGTTCGATTTCTTTAAACATCATATCATCAAGAACATATCTTAATTTAATTTTAAATTCAATGAATTTATTTTCATTCATTTTGCCATCAGTTTCTGTTTTAATTGAATTTATTTTCCTTTCAAACAAGCCATGTATATGTTTTTCTAATCTTAAATAAAATTTTGGTAATCTGTGTTAACAGGTTTCGGATTCAGAACAGCAAAAAATTAACCCACTACATGTCAATTTGTCTTATTTAACATCTTCTTGCCTACATTACAATTTTATGTATCAATAATTTTGAAAAACAATAAATACTTAATATCTCGTATCTCGTGAAATCTCGTATTTTTTGAGATATCTCGTATCTCGTTTTAGCTCGTGTCTCATATTTTTTTGAGAATACGTATCTCGTGAATCTTGTGTCTTTTATTTTGTGGGACGCGGCTCACTCCTTTTATTTACCTTTCCAAATGTAACTCCGCTAAACTTGATTTAAAAATATCATCAACTTTGCTTAAATCCTCTTCCTCTCCCAAATCTTTTAATTTATTTTCAATTTTCACAAATTTCTCTTTAATTATTTTTAATTTAAATTCTCCTCCACTCATTTCTGATTCAAAAAGTTCAAATAATTCATTAAATTCCAACAATTTTAATAAAAAATTAAATTCAATTTTTGTTTCATTTTTATTTTTTTCTTTAAATTTTTCATAATTTCCCAAAATATTTTTTATTTCTTTATCACTTGCTTTTTTCTCCTCTTCCTCCTCAAAAATTTCAAATAAAGATTTTCCTTTTCTTTTTATTTCTTTTGTTAAATTATTTAAAATAATTAATTTTTTATCATTAATTTTTTTAAATAAAAGAAATGAAGAAATTTGTCTAATAATTTCTTTCCAAGGTTTTTCTTTTCCAAAAAATGCTTCAATATATTTACCTTCCAAATCATCTTCTGACAACCCAACTAAAAATAATTCAAAAATATATTTTTATATTTAAATTACCAAATTTCTCTAGTAAATTACTCGATGGACTAGCTTCTTTTGTTGAAGTTATTCCTTTCGTTTTAGGAGGTTTACCACAAATTCCAAAATTAAAAAATAAATAAAATAAAATAAATAAACTTTTCTTCATTTCTAAAAATTATTAAATTAAAAATTTTAGAAATACTTCTTAAATATTTGTTAACTTTAACGGATAGAATAGTATAGAAGGATGAAAGAGAATTATAAAATATTAATTTAATTAATTTAAAAATCAGGCACTTATTAAATTTAAATTTATTTTTTAATTTTTGAGAGAGGCATCTAAATTTTAAAATGAGGCAAGAGGAGTGAAGGGGAGGGAATTATGAAGAATTCGCCGGCCTGCACTTTTATGTCTAGCCGGCATGTACTTTTATGTCTTTTTTAAAACTCAAAAAAAATATTTAATGTTGGCATGTACTCTTGTTTATTCATCAGATTATTTCAAAATGCCAATTATTTTCATAAGAAATTGCCGATAATGTAGTTTGTGCTGCTAATGAAAGTTAATTTATATTTATTTTCGATGACGGCAAAACTAGAATCCAAAAATTATCTCAAGCAAGAGATTTACCAAAGACGACAACTTTGAGGGTCGATTGAAGGCAAGATATTAACAATAAAACAAAGACTGGAGCATTTTACTGAATCTTTTAGATTAAGCCGTTAAGGACAAGCCGTTATGTAAGTTCTGTTAAATACATAATTTGAGGAATTTTTTTAGCAAAATTTCTTTTATTTTTAATAATTAATTTTCAACCTAAGGCCGAAAATTAAAAAGAGGAAATTAAAAAAAACTTTACACATCAAATAAATGATTTTTTGATTATTCCAGACACGAATCACAGCTTCGAAAATTTATCAGGTACACGCAAGACTTGCCCGGTTTTTAAATTTAATAATGAATTTATATGTGAAGTAACAGAAATGTTTGTTCTTCAATTAAAAAACAACTGTCAATTAAATTAAGAATTTAATATATACCTAATGTTCCACTAATCTAAACGTTTTATAAATTAATTTGAATATAATTAATTAAGGAACTTATACAACTTTTTATTTTTATTATTAAATTATTAAAAATAATAAAAATTATCGCAACAAAAAATTAATTTAAAAAAAGTTTTAAGGCAAATCTTTAATTAAATAAAATTAAGTTTCACAAAAATATTTAAGAATATTTAAGAAAATTTTTAGTTAAGTCACAAAATTTTTTGTTTTATGAATATGAACATAAAATATATTCAAAAATATAAATTATAAATTAAAAAAAACATACGAACTAAAAAAATTATTGGCAATTTTGATTAAAGATTTTTATTTAAATGGTCATTTATTTGGGTAATTAATTATAAAATAATAATGCGTAATTAATTTTTCAGTAATTTTTTAATAAAAAAATAATTCTTAATAAATTCAGAATTATATAAGTTATCAAATTATTTTATAGAAAATCAGTTATTTCCAAATTTAAAATCTTTAAATAAATAAATTTAATTAAAAATGAGCGTAATTACTTTAAAAGTTATTTTTGTTTTTATTTTTATTTGTATGTTTCAAGAAATTGTTTTTGCTGCAGATTGTAAAGTAGGTTCATGTCCATGCAGCGCAACTGGCTGTCCAAAGTTAGTCTTAATATAAATATAAATTTATTTTTAATTGAATAGTGGATCTAAATGGAATTGTAATCCGTTTGGTGGATGTCTTTGCAGGTAAAAAAATTTTTTTGAATTTTTAAAATCATTCTCATGCCTATTACTAATTAAAATTAAATTTTACTTAAAATTTTCAGTTATGTCCCGTTAGGTGCATGTCTGTGGACATCGGGAGTATGTTGCACTTCGTCAGGATAAATAAATATATTTAATAGATATATTTAATTAATTAATATAATTATTTTTAAATTGTTGAATAAATCAAATTAAAGTAATATATCAATAAATATCTGTATCTTAGAGTAAATCTATTCCACTAACCTGAATTTAGGTTGAATAATTTACTTAATTTTGTATACTTAAGTTTTTGTATATTGAAATGGGGCTTCGAGAGGAGACCTCCATCGTTTCCCTCGAATAACCCTTCCCCGAGAGTAAGGGTCAAATTCTGATTATATCATGAACGTTTTTTAAACTGATATGCGGTAAAAACATTGCCATCTGTAAATACTTTATAGCCAAATTTAATAATTATTCTAAACTTCGTAAATTTAGTAAGTAAAACTGTTCTTGTTTTAATTTCATAAGAAAAGTATTAAATACTTGTGTAATTTTATCAAAATTTAATTAATAATTATTAAATAAGTAATTTAAAAACGATTATCTTTCTGTTAAAGAGTTGGCGGCATATTTCCATATAAGGGTCCAATCACAGAGATTTGTCTTTGCAATTCTTGGCGAATATTATCAGTAGCACTACTGAGAATCCGCTCAATTTGTAATATTAACGTTCTTTCGGCGATGTCAGGATTTTTTAAAAGATCCTTTAGAAATTTGAAAATTATTTTTAAATAAAGTATTAGTAATAATTATATTTTTCAAACGCTGTTAGACATTGCCATTGTTCGTATCAATAAATAAAACAAAATTTATCAGACCTTATTTTCAGTAAAAATAAGAGGTTCATAGAAACTGATAATAGACTAATTTTTCCTCAAAAATATTTTGAAGAATCTTGGATATTATCGGTTCATGTTTAGTTTGGTGGTATTTGTTTATTTACATAGAGCAGACTAATTTTCATAGGATATAAAAATTGTAACTAATATTTCAATAAATTTATTCACGTTAATTAAAAAAGTCTACACTAAAACTCAAAAATTCTAGCAAATTCCTGAATTAAATAAAAAATAAGCACCTGAATTCGACTATCAACGTCCTGTGCATTTCTGCTTAGCTTAGTTTGAGCAATTCGTTGCCTTTCTATTCTAAATTGTTGTTCTTTTTGTTGTAATGATTGTTCAAATTTTCTATAAAGATCCTAAAAATAATAACTTCAAATAACTAAACAAAACACGAACAGAAATTATTTTTCCTTGTCGATCAGCCCAATTCTGTTTATCTTTTCTTATAGATGATTTGGATCTGTCAGTTTCTGCTTCAAGTTGAAGAAACTTTTGTCGTTCTGGAATTGTGGCAATTTTCAAAAATTCTGGCAGATGATCATCTAAAATGATTTAAAATGTAAATCATAAAATATCTAATATATCTTCCGAATATTTCTTAGAATTTTTCAATAAAAAAGTTCCCTTCCCCTAAGTAAAAAGATAACCATTAAATTTTTGTTCATTATTTTCCACATTTAACTTTCCGCTATCTGAAACTCCTTTTGAATCGCCATCCTTGTCGTAATCATTTTGATTTATTCTTCCTTGATTCTGCTCATTAAGGCCTTCAGAATCTTCATTTTTTCTAAATAATTATTTCCAATGAAAGATTATAAATTAGGTATATATAAGTATATCAAAAATCCCACAAGTAATTTCTCTCAATTAATATATGACTTTAGGTTAGTCTTATTTTGTTATCTTTTTTGAGGAAGATTTGGTCATACATACCTGTTCTGATTTTTTCCTCCAAAATCATTCTTTTCTTTCATTCCTTTCTTTCTTCCTTTACTTCCAGCATTCGCTACTTTTTCATCATCACTTTCATTATCCCCAAAATTACTTGAAGGTATTTGATCACTAACAGAGCCATCTTCACTTTGTAAGTCCAATTCTTTATTTTCTTCTTTTTGATTGTTTCGGTTTTTATTATTTTTACCAAGTTTTTTATTGCCTAGACAAAAAATAAAATGAAAGTAAATTTCGGAATAAATGTCGAGTAGTAACTATTAGGTACTTCAAAAGTTACAAATTTTAGAAAAATAGGAGAAATTTAAGGTACTTTATCCTCAATGTAAATATTTTTGAGGTGTAATGGCTAACACATCAGTCCGGTCTACTGAAGATGCTGGTTCGCTTGCAGCGGCCGATTAACCTTTTGCACTAGTTAAAGGAGAGAAATAGCTATAGACCAGCTGCTTTACTATTTTTCAATTAAAATAAAAGCAAATTAACCTCCGTTTTTTCCGGAATTAATTCCTAAATTAGATAAATTTTCATTCGAATCAGGTTGAATGTTATTAAAATTTTCATGTTATTAAAATTTTGTTATTAAAAAAATGTTATTAACATTTTTTCATGTTATTAAAAAAATGTTATTAAAAATCTCGAGTCTTGTATTATTTTCGGTCTTGAGTCTTGGAGTTTTGGCCTTGGTTTTGAGTCTTGGAAAAATTTCGGTCTTGGGTCTTGAGTCTTTGAAAAATTTCGTTCTCGGACATCTCTAATAATAATCTCTAATAATTTTCACGACGTACAGATTCAACAGAAAGTCTAAAATTTATTTTAACAAATTCTATTTATTAATTTAATCGTTTTGAGTATTTCCCAACTATAAATTAATATTTTAAATTATTTTTGAATAAAGCTATACAAACATAACAAATTTTTATTAATTGAAAGTAATTAAAAAACGGTAAATTTAGTAGAAATTAAAATTAATGAATCAATATGGCAATATTTTCACCCATTATAATTATCAATATCTTCTAAAAATAAATAAAATTAAAAATTAATATGACTAATTTAAAAATATTAATATTATTTATTCTTTATTTATTTATTGTAAATGCAAAAATTAATGGCAAGAGAGGCGATGAAAATTTTAATAACATTCAACCTGATTCGAATGAAAATTTATCTAATTTAGGAATTAATTCCGGAAAAAACGGAGGTTAATTTGCTTTTATTTTAATTGAAAAATAGTAAAGCAGCTGGTCTATAGCTATTTCTCTCCTTTAACTAGTGCAAAAGGTTAATCGGCCGCTGCAAGCGAACCAGCATCTTCAGTAGACCGGACTGATGTGTTAGCCATTACACCTCAAAAATATTTACATTGAGGATAAAGTACCTTAAATTTCTCCTATTTTTCTAAAATTTGTAACTTTTGAAGTACCTAATAGTTACTACTCGACATTTATTCCGAAATTTACTTTCATTTTATTTTTTGTCTAGGCAATAAAAAACTTGGTAAAAATAATAAAAACCGAAACAATCAAAAAGAAGAAAATAAAGAATTGGACTTACAAAGTGAAGATGGCTCTGTTAGTGATCAAATACCTTCAAGTAATTTTGGTGATACTGAAAGTGTTGATGAAAAAGTAGGAGAGGCTGGAAGTAAAGGAAGAAGAAAAGGAATGATAGATAAGAATGATTTTGGAGGAAAAAATCAGAAAAGGTAAATATGACCAAATCTTCCATAACAAAGAAAAAATTATTTAGAAGAAATGAGGATTCCGAAAGCCTTAATGAGCCGAATCAAGGAAGAATAAATCAAAATGATTACGACAGGGATGGCGATTCAAAAGGAGTCTCAGATAGCGGAACGTTAAATGTGGAAAATAATGAACAAAAATTTAATGGTTATCTTTATAGTTTTACTTAGAGGAAGTGAACTTTTTTAATTAAAAATTCTGAGAAATATTCGGAAGATATATGTATTAGATATTTTATGATTTACATTTTAAATCATTTTAGATGATCTTCTGCCAGAATTTTTGAAAATGGCCACAATTCCAGAACGACAAAAATTTCTTCAACTTGAAGCAGAAACAGACAGATCCAAATCATCTATAAGGAAAGATAAACAAAATTGGGCTGATCGACAAGGAAAAATAATTTCTGTTTGTGTTCTGTTTAGTTATTTAAAAGTTTATTATTTTTAGGATCTTTATAAAAAATTTGAACAATCATTACAACAAAAAGAACAACAATTTAGAATAGAAAGGCAACGAATTGCTCAAACTAAGCTAAGCAGAAATGCACAGGACGTTGATAGTCGAATTCAGGTGCTTATTTTTTTTGTTTAATTCAAGCATTTGCTATAATTTTTGAGTTTTTGTGTGGACTTTTTTAAGTAACGTGAATAAATTTATTGAAATATTAGTTACAATTTTTATATCCTATGAAAATTAGTCTGCTCTAAATAAACAAATATCACCAAACTTAACAAGAACCGATAATATCCAAAATTCTTCAAAATATTTTTGAGGAAAAATTAGTCTATTATCAGTTTCAACATCTTATTTCTACTGAAAATAAGGTCTGATAAATTTTGTTTTATGTATTGATACGAACAATGACAATGTCCAAAAGCGTTTAAAAAATATAATTATTACTAATTTATTTAAAAATAATTTTCAAATTTCTAAAGGATCTTCTAAAAAATCCTGACATCGCCGAAAGAACGTTAATACTACAAATTGAGCGGATTCTCAGTGGTTCTACTGATAATATTCGCCAAGAATTGCAAAGACAAATGCCTGTGATTGGACCCTTATATGGAAATTTGCCACCAAGTCTTTAACAGAAAAATTATCGTTTTTAAATTACTTATTTAATAATTATTAATTAAATTTTGATAAAATTACATAAGTATTTAATACTTTTCTTATGAAATTAAAACAGTTTTACTTACAAAAATTATTAAGTTAAGAATAATGGCAATGTTTTTGCTGCATATCAGTTCTAAGAAGATAACATTCATAATATAATTAGAATTCGACTCTCGTCCTCGGGAAGGGGGGATTACAGTTTCCAGATATTTTTATTTAGCATATAGTATAATAAATTTACTCTAAATTACGGATATTTATTGATATATGCCACATTCATATCCGGGGAGGTTATATTATCGTGGAAAATGTGAATTTTAGCTTGCTCCATTTTTTCCCACACTCCGGTACTAGTATCGATTCTAACCCATTGATCTGCGCCGATTTCTAGAAATCTCAAACGATAACGTTCACAATCGGCGGGAATCGAAGATTCACTTAGAATCCTTAATTCAGGATCCAAGAATCCTAACCTTGTCATATTAGACAAAGTTATTTCGACCGGAATATATTTGAAACAGCTTGACACCGGCCGAAACCTTATATTTGTAATTTCAATAGCTACACAAGAGAAGACTTGAGCTGTGTCTTCATTTAGCCAGGTAGCTACCAGATCCTTTTTATGAAAGGCCTGTCTCACATGATATGTGGGATTATCGTGTCTAACCGTTTGCTGATGGCATTTTTCTTCCAATAATTTATCGTAAAAATTTTTTAAAGCTAGTTCGGCTGCAGTTAATTCTGCCGCAAGCTGTTCTTCATCAACTGAGCGCTTACTCCTTTCAATAAATAATTTTGTAAACTCTCGCTCCTCTATCGCGAATCCTTGCTCTGATTTACGAATAGCTTTACCGTTACAAGCTATTTCACGAGGCGCCTCTTTTAAAAATGACAAGGCAACCTCTTTAGAGGAGGAAATCCAAATGACTCGGGTATTTCCCGATCTACTATAATCTCCCTCCCATCTTCCTAAATATTCATAATTGCAACTTTTGCAATTTCTAGACTCGCAATGTGACTCCCATATAATGACATTTCTCCACAGAATAGAGAGGGGAGAACATTTTTAGAGTTTGAGGGTTATAATGGAGGGTGGTAGGCTGTAGGTGGCAATTAACAACTGAGGATTCCCTTGCACCTCCAAATAACGAGGAGAATCTCCCAGGGAAGTCAACCTTTAAGGCCTCCTCAGTTTTCCATAATCCATCCTTTTTTCCCATTTTCTTTTTATTATGGGGACAAATTTTACTTTCAGTCATTTTTAAACACTCATCTTTAGTAAGAGGCAAAAGTTTTTGTTCTAACTCTATAAATTTATCTCCAAGTAGATTAAGATAATACACTTCTCGAGTGTATTTTGCTGAACATATAAATGCTTCTACTGGCTGTGGACGCATAGTCTGGGAAAATGTCTCCAGAACGAAAGGTTTCCATTTTCGGAATCCTTTTTTACAAAAGGACGCCTCATCTCTATGAGGAAATTTCCAGAGTGCGCTAGATTGTGTAGCACACCAAAAGACCGGGTCCCCTTTAATTTCGGATTCTAAATTTTTTCGCCGAAATCTTTCTCGCTCTGCATTTTGCTCTTTAAATGCTTGAGTAAGATATGGAGACGCGCTTACTCGATAAACTAATTTTTTGCCCCCTGGCGTATTTACCTTTGATTTCGTCACCAGAGCCGCTGAGAATCCAAATAAGGATAAAATAAATAAACAAATGAGAGCAATTGTTCCCAAATTTTTTATAATAGAACCGCCAGATTTACGAGAAAGCATTTGTGATGTACTAGGTTTAAGCGGATGATTCTGTTCATAAAGTCGTTGAATCAATAATTTTAGGCGCGATTCCAAGAAGGGCGTTGTGGTTCAGGAACTTGATTTATTTGTTGTAAAGAAGGTAAGAATTGACGTGATGTTGATTCTACTTCATAATTTATAGAAGGAGTATGAAGAATATTTCCCTTTACTTTGTTTAAATTTTCCATTGACCCATCAAAATAATAATAGCCGGTATTAAAAGATTCGGCTAAATTTCGGAATTGTTCCGTGAATTTTAATCGTTCTCTTGCCAATTTATCTTCGTTATGTATCAAGGTAATGCCGATCGGTACTCCATTTGCTCGCCAAAATTCGAGAGAATTTGCTATTGAATTCATTTTTGTCTCATTTGGCTTCACAACTATTAGAAGTTCCTCTGTTCGGTATCCAAAATATATAATTCGATGTAGGTCTCGACCACCATCAAAATGGACTAGTTTACATGCTTCCCAGCTATGAATACTTGGCACCGAAGCGTCTGATGCGATGATAAATGGCGAATCAATTAGGTATAATTTTGAAGGACCTCTACACATCAAAAACTTCTTTTTAGTTAAAACTTTAGATAGCATTTTTGTAATGTATTTTAGCCAATTATTTAGTCCTAGGTCCGGTGTTTGTCTTGCTTCCTCTAAAATTATTTTCCCGGACCAGTGATAGCCATAGAGGTTGCGAAGCACTTTACAATTCGCAACACGAATAGCTACTATATCGGCTAAAAATTTATCTTTAAAAGCCTTCTTTGGATTATAGCGAATATGTTGCCAAAACTTCAAAATTTTCCAAAGAATGGATTCATTTGGAGCGCATAATTGATTTCGAACGGCATTCCAAATTTCTAAAGTTCCAAATCTTTGCCGGCCTAACCAATTAAAGATTAACATGTGCGCCAATGTTGTCATTAACGGAAATGTTATACTAATTGGAATTGGTCTTGAATGTGCCGTTCTACTTGCCGTTTTAGTTAAATTACATTTCTCGTGTTGCGGGCCCTCACAAGGAGTAAAAATATTGTATGCCCATGGCTCAACTTCTATTTTTGGGGCCGGCCATGTTTCTTCTTGTTGTAGATAAATAATTTGTTGTTCACGTCTTGCAGCCCTTATAGCAATATTAGTTTTTTCTACTCTTGGACATCTTTCGTGCTTGTGTAATTCATAGTATGTTTGGTTTCTTCGTAATGCTTCTTCTTGTTTTTTCTGTTGAAAATTTCGTAAAGCAGCAACTTTATTAATTTTGATTAAACGTTGACGTTCTTCTTCTGTAATTTTTCCAGCTCCTAGATATTTATTGACCATTACTACTCCAGGCTGTGGGAAATTGCGGAATCCTCTTCCGTACTTTTGTATAGGCTTCTTCGGTATTTTATATTTCGATAACCAATTATCAGAAGCTTTCCTTTGTTTATTTATTATTTCATTATTTTTTCCTTCTTTATTTTTATTTTCTTCATTATTTAATGATTGTTCCTTTGGTGCGGTTTCAATTATTTGGATTTCATTTTCTAAAGCCTTCTCATTTGAAACTTGAGTTGATGGTAAACTAGATACAATCATTGCCGACATAACAGTGGTCGGTTCCTTTCTTGAATCAGAACTTTTCCGAGCATAGGCGGGAAAAGGAGTATCTACTTCTGAATCACTTGAACTCATCTCAACTTCAATATTTTTATCTTTTAATTGTTGTTGTTTATTAGACTGTTGTTCGGGTCGAGACTCTGAAAATTCTAATTCATATATTTGATTAATAGACCGTTTAAAAATTTTTCCATTTATATTTAATTTTACGGTTCTTATTAACCCATCCCGGCCCTTATTTAATTCAATAATGTGACCGAGTCGCCACAAGGGACGGGGAAGTTCGTCTTCAACTATAACGACCTTTCCGATAAGTGGTTCCTTGCCAGATCCTTTACCCTTATATTCAGATCTCTCGCGCAAGGAAAGCAAATACTGAACGCGCCAGATCTCCCACAATTTGTTTAATCTTTCATTAGTTTTTCTTATTATTTTTAAACCTTCTTCTCTATTCAATTCCTCTTCAAAATCTGACTCGTCTCCTAAATTAGCGAAATTTATTTCGGGTGAGGATTGAAGCAAAAAATCGATAGGCCTCAGAGAGCGAACTGGCTCTGCATCTGATTGATAAGTTAGAGGACGGCTATTAGCCATAGCTTCTAACTCGATAAATAGAGTTCCGAGCTCTGCATGGTCTAATAATTGCCGACCGATACTCCTTCGCAGAGAATCCTTGACTACCTTGACCATGCGTTCCCAAATACCTCCGCGCGGATTTCGGGGTGTGGTAAACCGCCATTGAGTGCCTTTATGTGCGACCCAATCTTGGACTTCTTGAGTACACCAAGTTTCTTTACTTAATTTTTTAATTATTTTTGCGCCATACTGAAAATTAGTGGCATTATCCGAGTAAATTACAGCTGGGATTCCTCTTCTAGCAATAAATTTTCTATAAGCCTGAAGAAAGGAAGTCCCCGAAAGATCATAACTCATTTCTAAATGAATGGCTCTAATTACCATACACGTGAATAGAGCACCGTAAACCTTATTTTGTTGATTTTGTATTTTTATATTAAGTGGTCCAAAATAATCAACGCCTACCATACTAAAGGGACGCGCCATATTAACTCTTTCTTTCGGTAATAAATCGAACCTTTTATTTGCGTACGACTGCAAATTAAATTTACGACAAATAAGGCAGCCGTACCGAATAGACTTTAGTGTATCCCTAACTACTCTTCGACCTTGAGGCAACCAATATCTCATCCTCAAGATTCCTAATAATAACTGGGTCCCGCAATGCTTATTTTCCTTATGTATATTCAATATGATTAATTTAGTGAGCCAGGCTTCTTTTGGCAAATAAATGGGAGTGATCGCTTCATTTGGGATATCAGCCTCCCTTAAGCGTCCTTGACAAACTAATAAATTTTGAATTTTAATTATATTTAATTGTTTTATAATTTCTTCCTTTGGAGGAAATTTTTCCTGTGCTTTTAATATCAAATAATTTATTGAAAATTTTAATTCCTCGGAAGATAAATTGTTTTTATTATTAATAATATTATTATTATTATTTATCGAATAATTTGACAGTAATCCTATCCATTTTATTTTTGAGCCAATTTTACTCAAGAATTTAAATGCATAAGCTAGAGCACGAACTAATCTCCAATAATTGGAGAATCTTTTAGTTCGAATTATAGAAGGTTTGCTCGGCTCTCGCTCTATTATTGCCTCTATTTTTTCTTCTTTAATTATTTCGCTTCCAGGAATATATTTTAATTTAGGGCTCACCCAAAACTCTTTCTCCTGGGAGAGGAACGTCGGTCCATTCCACCAAAGATAATTATTTTGTAAATCAAGAGGTTTAATCCCCCTTGAACACAAATCGGCGGGATTTTCTTTTCCCGCAATGTGATTTATTAAAAATTTACCTCTTATTTGGACTATTCTATTAGCAGTGAATCGATCATATTTTTCATATTTATTTAAACGATCGATATTACAGCTACTGTCGGTCCAAATAGTAGCTTGACTTGTTTTAAACCCCAATTCTTTTTGAATAAAAGATAACACCTTTACTCCTACTAATAAAGCTTGTAATTCCAGACGCGGAATTGTAGCTTCTGTTAAAGAGAGACGGGCAGGTTTTAATAAACTTTTTGCAAATATTAAATTAGTTTTGCAAACTTGTCGAGTCTCCGAACGCATATAAACTGCACAACCAAATCCAAATTGGCTTGCGTCTGTAAAACAGTGATACTCACGTTCCTCCTCCTCTGGAGGATTTAACCAAAATTTTCTTGGGAAAGTTATTTTTATGGGAGCTCCATCCTTCTGCCAGGTTTGGAGCAATACCAGTAAATTATTGTAATGCTCTTCATTAATTTTATCATCCCATTTATAATTATCTTCTACTATTTTTTGCATTAATAATTTTGCGGGAATTAAAGCCGGAGAAACGACGCCCAAAGGGTCATATACTTTGGCTATGACTGACAAAATTTCTCTTTTTGTCTGAAAATCATGAATTTTTGGAAATTCGATTACTAATAATTCTTCCTCAAATAACCATTTAATACCAAATATTTTTGTCTCGCTTAAGTTTGGAGCTAAATCTTCTTCCGGAATGTCTCCAAACTCCTCTTTGGCTGCGCCGAAAAATTCGCGGAGTCTCATTCCTGCTTTGGAAAATAATATTTTAGCTTCTTGACAGACTATATCAATTTTATCGTCGTCTTCTAACGGAATCATTATATTATCCATGTATAGATTTTCTTCGATACTCCTCGCTAAGCGAGTTTCAAATAATTTTAAATGTTCTTGTATAGTTGCATTTAACAAGAATGGGCTAGAAGTAAGCCCGAATGAAACTCTTCGAAATCTATAGACAATACACTTGGTATAGATTATCTGATCAGGGTTTATCTCTTTTGGATTTTGTAACCAGAGGAATCGAGTACAGTCACGATCCATTACTCTAACTCCTAACTGAAGAAATGCTTTCTCTATATCAGCTAGGAGTACTTTGTTTAAAAGTCGAAACCGAAGAAGAATTCCGACTAACTGTTTAAGCAATAAGGGCCCGGTATATAAACAATTATTTAAGGACGGCATATTTGGCTGTCCAGGAGGCTTGGCGCTAGCGTCCATAACAATGCGCACTTTAGTAAAAGCCTTATCAAAGCGGAGAACCGCCCGGTGCGGGAGGTAATGTACCGGTCCCTGCGATTCCTTGGGATTATCAACCTTTTCTATCATTCCCTTTTCTAATTGTTCATTAATAATTTTTTCATATTCGTCAATCAAACCTAATTTTTGCAATTTTTTAATTGTACCCGCTAGTCTTACTTTCGCGTATGGAAATTTGTGGGTAAAAAATTTATATTTTCATTAAAAGGGAGAGCTACTTCATATCTTCCCTCAACGAAAGTAAGATTTCTTTGAAAATGTTCTAAAACCTCCTCATCCTTTACTCGAGGGGATAAGTCTTCCATTCCCACTCCACTAAGACCAAAGAGGTTGGCTAAATTTTCTTGGTGTTCCTCGTCATTTTCTTTGTTCATTTTTGGCCGTTCATTCGACATAAATTCAATAGCCGAATAAATATGAGTGGTATGTGCCTTATAGACTCCAGTAGGCATTTGTTGAGATTCTTCCTCAATCTGCCCCCAACCACTTAAAATAGGTCCTAGCCTTGACTGAGATACCGTAAAGCCGCTAGGTAAAACTTGCATTCTCTGTACACGGAGCTCATTCCAAATATCCATACCCAATAATAAATCTGGGTAATTCCATTTTGTTGTTATTAATTTATCCGCGTAAAGTTTATCAAGATTATTGTATAGCTCGTTCATGTTATAATAGGGTAAGGGATTTACCAAGAAGTCAAGTTTATTAACAACCATGGTTAATTTTTGAAATCCATTGCCTATTCCAATTTTTACTAGATCACATTTATATTGTTTGGGCGTAGCATTCCCAAAACTGGTCAAATAATATTCTTCGGTACCCATATTAATCAATTTTAATTTTTCAGCCATCGATTTTGTAATGAAGGACCTTTGAGAGCCTGGATCAAGAAACGCCAGTGCTTTTAATTTTAAATCTTCATTTCTAGGATTAAATATTTCAATTTCGACTGTCATTAATAGGGCTTTTCCTAATCCTTCATTATTTAAAGGTTCTATCATTTGACAATTAACTTGTTGCGGGAGCTCCCGATTCGGGGACTCCGCCGCATTTTTATAATTTTTATACTCTTTTGAATTAAATCCACCGTTATCAAACGGAGGTAAATTTTTATTTGTTCCTAAGGGTACATTATTGGCCCCCGTACCCTTCCAATTACTGATTGACGGTGGTTTTAAATTAAAAGAAACCTTTTTGTCGGGCTTATTTTGAAATTTATCTTTATTATAATTGTTGCTTTTATTCGTATTAAAATTATTATTTTGTTTTTGCCCGAATTTCTTGAAACATAAAGCACTTGGATGAGTTCCCTTACAATGAAAGCAAGTAGCTAGCTTTTGGCACTGAGGCCGAGTATGGTTATTACTCAAACAACCCATACATAAATTTTTAGTGCGGACGAATTGAATCCTTTCGTTCGCGTTTTTATAATTTTGACACTGGTCGCTCCAATGGGTACCAGTACAAAATACGCACCTGGGTTCTCTTTTTAAATTTTGGCCAAAGGTTTGTGGAATTCTTTCATATACTTTATTGGGGTTTACAGGCTCATTTATTGCTGCGTATGTATATTGATGACCCTTTCCATTAAAATGA